AATATTTAATGCTTGTAAATCTGAAAATGATTACTGTGCTGATGCGCAGCCAGTGAGAAGTGAGGCTAATGGCCCCGCGGCTGGCGCGGGGAGGTGGCAGCAGCACCAAGCTGCACCTTGGAAGGCAGGGAAGGCGACGGTGGAGGGGGAGAACTTTGCGGGGTGGGTGCTGGCGGCAACCTTGAGCGTGGTGGCGGGTCTACAAAACTTGCAACTGATTCTCCTAAAAGCCAGATGGGGGCCATGTGTCCCAGGAAAGCCAGCTGTGACATGGGGAGGAACGAGGGTAAGACAGCTCAGAGAAGTCTCAGGGGTGTGTGGGAGACTCTGGGGACAGAGAAACAGGGCTGACACTGATGATATCACTCCTGTTTGAGCTTCAGCCTTTGGAAAGCGTCCGTGTTTCTATGCAAACTAACGAGGAAATCGTGGCCCCCCAAAGGAAGGGGGACTTGGCAAAGACCACGAAGCTGGTCACCGCGGGGCTCATGCCCACCAGACAGACGTCCATACCCGGAAGCTGTGTTGAGCTGGCTCACCAGGCTTTAGCTGGCTTTGATGACCCAGGATGGCATTAGCTGAACCTTTCATTTCCCAAACCAACCTGTCCCCTGCTTGGGTCAAAAAGGAGATCCAAAGCTGTCAGAGCCAGGCTCCCATGAGGCTGACAAAGAGGCCCGCAAAGTGGAAACAGGGGTGAGCTCTGGGTCTCTGTGGCCAGAGAACACCACACACTGGCCAGACAGAGCCAGGCTAGACAGACCCCTGGGAGGGTTCAAAGAAACCCAATGTCTCCCAGCCAGAGCCGGCCCAGCGATCTCCATCAGCGTGCCCGCTGGCCAGCCAGGACCAGACCACAGGCATCCTGGAAGAAGGCTCCCATTCCCACCCTGGAAGGTACTCACCAGGGAAAAGGGAAGGCCCAGGAAAGAGCCCAGCCCCAGCAGGGAGGGATGCAAGAATGGACGTCCAGCCCAGGTGCAGGGAAATGAGGTGCATGAGATGTTAGGAAAGAGAGGGTGAGGGACCCCGGCTGCCCACCAGGATTTGTCATTTCTTGGCCCAGAAGACCCTTCTTCCCATGGACCCACGTCGCTGAGGGGTGCTCAGCTCCTGACATCTCACTTGGTTTGTATGTAAGTCCCAGTTTAAATTATGCATGTCCTGCAGGGGAGGGCCGCCCTGTCCTCCTCCTGAAGTGGACTTTTTGATTCCTGTCAGCATCCATCCTCCTCTCTGAGAATGACCCAGTGATGCTCCACCAGACAAGGGCCCCACCCCCTGAAGTTGAAGGTGAGCATGTGACTCCGACCTGGCCAATCAGTGTATTCCATGTCTCCCGATAAAGGGATTGGTTCAGGGATGGCCATGTGACTAGGCCTGGCCAATCAGAACCAAGCATAAGAGTTCTCTGGCACTACTGGGGTTAAAAGGTTCTTTTGCCCCTGGGGTTGCTCCACTAACAGGATGCGAGCCTGGAGGGGTTGGTGGCCACATTTCCTAGGAATAGAGAGAAGCAGGCTAATGGCTGGGGAGACAGGAAGGCCAGGTCCTGATGGCAGACGCCGAAGGGCTAGCCCAAGTGGGCGGTGTTCCTCTCAAACCTTGAGTTCCTCCCTCTGAGGGATTTTGTTCCTTATTGCTCATCCGTTTCTCTTTCTCACTCCCGTCTCCTGTCCCACAATATTCGGAATAGCCATGATCTGAACAAATGCATTGACTGACAAATTCTCCCTGCATAGGCAGGTCCTTTGGTCCAACAAGGGCTGCCCACTCTCCCCAGTCCCTCCTGATCACTAAATGCACAACCCTCCCAACTCTGAGAGACAGTGGATGCTGGAGGTCACTCTGACACAGTCCTCTTGTCCCACACAGGAAGCTCTCTGAAGGTAGGAGCTTCCTCACAGCCCCTTTCTCTGGTCCACACAGCTGGTCACAGGGTGATTTCCATCCCCAAACCAATATTCACTGTGTCCCTCTGTATGACATGACCCCCTGCCTCACTCGGGAGCCAGATGAGGCCCCACCAGCACCTTCTGGGAAGGTTCCCCAGAGCAATGTCCCTGCAAGGTCCCCTGTGACTCTAAGGAACTCCTGCAGTACCTGCTGCCCACGCCCACTCCAGAGCCCACCCACTACTTTCCACCTCTGCCATGGGCTCCCTTCTTCAGGCTGTTCTGGAGACAGCAGCCTGCTATCCAGTTCCTGTCCCCCAGGGTCAACTGGCCCTGTCACCTCACTCAACCCAGCTGAGCCTTTTATGGACTCTCTGGAGAGATGAGTTACTAAGGTCAGACTGCCCCTCAGGAATCCCCCCAGAGACCCTCCAGGACATGTGGACGACCCTGTGAGCTTTCAGATTGGAAAGTGGTCTTCACCGAGCAGATGCCCAGTCGGGGTCAGGCAGGAAAGGTGCTGTCCTGACAAATCCTAGCCCTGTGACTCCCTCGTTGCTCATCTGATCCTGCTGGGTCACTTTAACAGCCTCAGTTTCCTCGCCTGGAAGATGAAAGTAATAGCAGGATGGCTGCAGCAGTCATGGAAACGAGTGTGAAGTGCCTCTCTGGGCCTTCCGCTGACACCCAGCAGGCACCCGATAAGTGGTGGCTATTGTTGCTGTGGGCGTGGGGGTGTAGCCAGTGCCCACGGAAAATGCCAGGCAGCTGAAACGGACCATTCTTGAAATGAATGGACCACAGACACTGACTTGCCCCTGGAGCTCCCTGTGAGCGGGCCACCACCCGAGGAGGCCCATCTTCATCAGCAACATCCTCTTCACAGGGGAGGAAACCAGTGTAGTGAGAGCTTCGGCAACTTGCCTAGGAACCCAGAGCTGCCGAGCGCCAGACCAGGCCCTGACCTGCCTTGTCCCTGCTCCCAGAAACAAAGGTCAATGAGATGCACCTCAGGCCGCTGTGCAGAAGCAGGACACCCCATCTAGCCCTGACGGAGGACTGTCGTTAACCAGCCTAGCTCTTCCCCTGTGCCATGGTGACCCTCTAGTGCAGGCCTACTGTGTGTGCTTGGAGCTGCACCAGGCGCTCCCAAGTGTGATCTTACTGAATTCTCACAGCAGTCCCGGGAGATGGTTTTATTACTCCCATTTTACAGATAAGAAGGCAGAGGCTCCGGAAGGTGAAGCGACTTCACCGTGGTCAAGAGCCGTAAAGAACTGGAAATCAAGGCCCATAACGGTCCCAGTCAATCGGCCGTTTTCATTGACATTGAGTGGAGGCTACTGATTTCATTCTTTTTTCTTCCTCTCTTCTTTTTTAGCTTACAGGGAGTCAAGAGAGGTGCCTGTTAATGAGGAATGAAATAACTTGCTACAATTTGCTCTGAAACAGGATGCTTAATTACCATCAACGCTTCCCCCACCAAATCTCTTAATGGGATTCAGGTAGCATGTTTGATGTTATATATAATATTTTGCAAGTTGGCCCTCTTCGGGGAGTGTATTGATTGAGGAGAAAAACAGATGTTCTGGAGGATGTTCCCAGATCAGAGCTGGACCGGATGGCTGCGGAGTTGAAAAGATGATACAAGTGCAGTGACGGTTGTGAGAGCAGGGGCCAGAGAACAGGGCACGCTTTGCCCTGCTACTCAGAGAGCCCCCCTGACCTTGCCCTTCCCACCCCCAGCATGACGGTGCCAACAGTGGCCTCCAGGCCCCACTTCCCACCCTGCATGGAGTGCCCATGTGCATGTGGGGGAGAGGCAGGCCACAGGGCAGAGGCATTGCCTCCCGGAGCTGATGGGGCAAGAACTAGAGGCTGTGGGGATGGATGGACAGACAGACATCTCTCTGGGCTGGAGGGGGCTTCACTGGAAGAGTCATGGGACAGAGCTTTCCAATAAGATGCTGAGCCTCCTCTGTTTGCCCATTTGTTTATTCAACAAGCACTTGCTAGGCACCTTCTGTGCGCCTTTTGTTTGTTCATTCAATAACATTTACCAACAACCTACCCTGAATCTTTTTCTCCAGTTACTCATTCACTCAAAAAACAAATACCCAAAGATTGCTGCATGCAAAGCCGTAGAACACGAAGGTACCTGCCCACCAGGTGCTGCCAGTTCCGCAGGGTACGAAGATGCTCACCAACTGGATGCTTGCATTACCCCCAACTGCAACCCAAGGTCTGGACACACAGGAGGATAGAGAAAGGGGTATTTGCTGTGAGCACAATAGGGAAGTTCAGGCAGGAAGTTTTGGTGTGTGTGGAGAAGGTGCTCAGGGCAGAAGGAACAGTGCGCAAAGACTTGTGGCTGGAGTAAGGCGCAGGTGTTGGGGAGGCTGGCCACCCCCTGGAAGCTGCACTGAGTCTCCACCTGAAGGTGATGGGGAGCCTCTGAGGGAGACGCATTGAGAAGGCTACTTCAAGGCCACCGTAGATACAGATTAGCTCTATGCCAGGCACTGGGGATTCAGAATGAGTGAGACCCAGGCCCTAGAATCCACGAGGCACTCCATAGCACCCCCAGGAGCCAGCAGCTGCGATCCCAGGTGACCCGTACCCCAGGAGGCAAGCTGACTTAGGAGCTCTGAGCATGATTCCCGCTCTACTTGGTCCACGTTTATTTTAAAATGAGAAACAGAATTAAGGGGAGGGTAGGTTTTTTCATTCAAGGAAGAGGTATTGAGCACCTGCTGTGTGCAGGGTTCCATACAAAGCAACAGTTAAGGCCTTTTAACCCCCCAGTCAGACCCTGGGAGGCCTTACCAGGTCTCTCACTCATGACGTGCATCTCAGGCACGTGTAACTGAGCCCTGAACTTGCCCACTTACGGCAGGTGCTGTGCCGGGACCTGGGGCAAAGGTGACACAGACCTGCTGCTCCCCAGATTTGCTGTGAGCATGAGCCTCACAAACCTGAGCCAAACATGTGATAGTGGAACTAGAGGCACACAGGAACGGGGCAAGGTGATGCCCACCTGTGATCCCAGCTACTTGGGAGGCTGAGGTAGGAGGATCCCAGTTTCAAGGCCAACCTGGGCAATTTAAGCAGCAAATTACTCAGGTTGGAGTGCAGGCTGGGAACCTGAAGGCCACAGGGTTGATGGGCAGCCTGGGACAAGCACAGAGAGTCCCAGACAGTGGGACAAACCTGTAGGCTATGAGCAGCCACTGGAGCCTTTTGAGAAGTGACGTGAGCAAGAATGTGGGTTACAGCTTGGGATTTGGGAAAGAGGCTGCTCAGGGGCCGCCAGCTGATTGGTCAGTTCAACAGCTCAGAGGAAGAGTGTGGAAGGTGCTCGCAGAGGTGGTGGCAGAGGTGCAAAGGAAGGGGACACGAGGCCCCTTATAATGCATGTGGAGGGCTGGCTGGCTATGGGAGGCAGGCAGGGAGCTGTTCCCAGCAGATGGGTGGGCAGAGCAGATGGCTGCCTTAGCTCCAGCTTGACTGGCAAGACCAGGTGAGCTGAGGTTCTTCCTGGCTGAGAATGGTATGAGTGCCTAGCATCTGTGGGCTCTTCAATGGGCAAGGACAGGAAAGAAAGGATTGCTGATTGGGGTAGAAGGAAGTGGCAGAGCAGATGGGGAGTGGAAGGCACTTACATATTTGCATGAAGAGGTAAAAACATGGGCAATGTGAGTGGTGGACGAATAGAGAGCCGGAAGGCAGAGGTGAACAGCAGAGTGGGTGGTGCATGATGGGTAGGGGGCCAGAGGCATGGGGTATGGAAGAGTGGGTGGCTGAGTAGGTGGGTGCATGTGTTGGCAATGACTCCCAGCAGAGTGTGCATGGAGGATTCTGGGAGCTGCATACCAAGCTGATCAACATTGGACCCCTGCTTAGCTTATTTCCTTATTTCCACTTCTAGTGAAAACCTCATCTCCCCCAGCCCCATCCTCAACGTTCATAACATTAGCCTAACCCAAGGATTTGGATCAAGAGATCTAGCTGATTCTTGATTCCCTTTGGGCTCTGACTTGTCATGTGACCTTAGACGCATCCCTTCCGCTCTCTGGGCTTCTCTTTGCCATCTAGTGAAACGGAAGGCCTCGGGATAGATGGGGGCCTCTGCACGTAGCGGCCCCACCCCCACTCCCACCCCCACAGCCAGCCCGATGAACCTCCAAGGGCACAATGAAAGTGGAGCCTCAGTTGCCAGGTGACCTTTAAGGGCAAACTTGAGTGCACATCAGAATCCCTTGGGGAATCTATTGACCCCGGCCAGCCGGTCCTCACTAGCAGGCGTCTGGTTCTGCAGGTCTGGACTGGGGTCGACCACTTTCTAATGAATTCACAGGTGATGCTGACCTTGGCTCATCTGAGGACCTCTGTCATCAGCTGCTACAAGAGTTTGGGGGGGAATCTGGTAAGTACCCCCATGTTGGGGGCAGCTCCGGTGCCCATTCCCCTGCAGGCGCAAAGGGCAACCTGGGGCCTGGGAGAGGGGCGGTCCCCACCTGCAGCCAGCCCCACCCAGGTCCTGGTGCAGGCCCCCCGCAGCCAGCTCCCCGCCTGCTCCCCTTCTCTCTAGGAGCCAGCGAGAGCCCGGTGCCTTCTGCCGCCCGCGCGCCGCCTGCCCCTGCCGCCCTCAGAACAGCTGTGGGCTTAATTATCAAAATAACATTTTAATAGTCTCATAACCGAACTCCCTTCAAAACATGCCAGCGGAGGAGGCGGCAAGGATTCTTTTTAGCACCTCTTCCCGCCCGACTTGCTAATGGGAGGCATTTAAGTTGCCAGGAGGCTAGATGCCCTGCTGCCCACGGAGACCCCCTTCCTGGCCACGTGGAGCCGGGGCTCAGGCCCACGCCAGGCCGCCAGCCAGAACCAGGAGTCGCCGCGGGAGCCTGGCCCTCCCTCCTGAGGAAGGGAAAGCGACTCATTCACGTGAACCCAGGCATCACTCAGCAAAGTGGATATGCTAAGAGAACTTAGGCAATTCATTTGCGATCACCAGGGGTTTTGCTTGCTTTTAACACATTTTTTTTATATATATATTTTTAAAAAATTGCTATCACAAGCATTAACTCTGGCTCCCCCTTTCCCTGCTATTTTGTGTAATAATTCTACAGGGAGTCCGAGCTGGTATTTAGCTCCCGAGTTAAGCTCCACTAAACAAGCCCAGTGCAAAACTAGCTTCTCAAATCAGTGTTTTCCCCTCCCACTCCCAGGGTTCCTAAAGCTCGCTAACATCACATTTATCCAGCGCTCACGATTCCAGGGCCGTGTGCTATGTTCGGAGCATATGCTGTATGTTATTACATCAGGACCTTATTCGCAGCCCAAAGAGGAAGCCCCGAAGGTTTCCATAGCCCCACTTTACCCAGGAGGACACTGGAGGCAGGAGATACACCCCTGATTACAGGCTGGCAGCAAGTGGAGCTGAGTTGGGCGGCTTTTCCCTACCTCCCTGGGGGAATGGGCTGCTAAGCCAGCCCTTTTAGAAACTTCAGAACATGCAGATCACCTGGAGCCCCTTTCTAAAAGTGCAGATTTTGGTTCAGCAGGAGTGGGTGCAGCCTGAGATTCTCTATTTCTAGCACATTCTTCTATCATTGGACCACACGTTGAGGAGAAGGTTCTAGGAGACAAGGGTCCCCAGCCAAGTTAGATGGGAGACCAAGGAAAGGCTGGAAACACGGGGCTTCCCCAGGCTCCATCTTGGGGTGATGGTCCTGGTTCTCTTTTGGCCTCTGACACCATCCCCCAGATAGTGCCCCAACTCCCAGGAGAAAGACACAGGGCCATTTCAGAGGCCAGTATTCTCATCTAAATTGTCCATCTGCTCCTCAAACTCCATGCGCAGTGGTAGAACCAAAACTTGCCTTTCCGTGGAGGAAAGTGCCAGAACCTAGCAAATCCTTTCAGTCCTCATATCTTTCCCTGCTGCCACCATAGAGCACTTACCAGGTACCAAGACAGGCACTGTGGAATCATGCAGCAGTTACAAATGTGGTGCTGTCCCCAGCGCCTGACGAGTAAGCAGGAAAGATGCCATCTAAGGCAGCTTCTGGGTGCAGGTGGGCACATGGTGGGATAGCAACACCAGCAAGGGCAGAGAGTGGGGGCACTGCTGGCTACCCTGTGCCCTGGGACAGTCAGGTCCCTTACTATCTACCCAAATTCAACTCAACATATGAACCATAAAAAGGAGACCCCCCCACACACGCCGCCCTGGATGAGAACTGGAAGCAGGTGCCCTTTGCAGACTTGCACTCAGGGTCCAGCAAGAATTGGGAAAGGACCTCAGGCCATGGCAGTCCCTGGTCCACAGCAATCCTTAGCAAACTAGCCATCGGTGCATCAGAAAATCAGGTTTATTGGAGGACCCCAGAGACTGCACTCTGTTCTGGCCACACAGTTTGCTCTAGGAAGATACAGAGTTGTGAATTCAAGTCCTGCTTCTGCCCTTCCACGCTCTGTAACCTCAAGCAAGTCAATCTCCTTCTCTGAGCTTAATCTCTTTTGTTAGCAATATGAACAGAACAGTACTTGATTTCATTCACAAGGTCTAGTGTGGAGAAGACATTACACATGTGTGTCTACACATATGCATGTCTGTATATATACATATGTTCTTTCTTGGTTGCCCTTGGTGGGCGCAGGGGGTTGGTTCCAGGACCTGTGTGGATATTGAAATGTGAGGCCACCCAAGTCCCTTGCTTCAAATGGCCTCGTCTTTGCATATAACTTATGAACATCTCCTGAATAGCTTAAATCATCTCTGGATTGCTTATAAAACTGAATATAACATAAATATTATTGTTTTAGGGAATAATGACAAGGAAAAAAGTCTATATGTTCAGTATAGATGGAATTCTTCTCACTATAATTTTATTTTCACTATGTGCTGCAGAACCTGTAGCCACAGAGGGCTGATTTTTATTCTTCATTAAAGTAAAAGGACTTTACCTTATTTTATTTTAATTTTTTTGTAGTTGTAGATGGTTAATATTTCTTTATTTTATTTATTTTATGTGGTGCTAAGGATCCATCCCAGTGCCTCACACATGCCAGGCAAGCGCTCTGCCATTGAGCTACAGCCCCAACCTCTCTACCTTATTCTAAATGCAGCTTAATGTTATCCAGTTAAGCACTTTATTGGGGGGAGGGCACGGGGGATTGGACTCAGGGGCACTTGACCACATCCCGAACCCTATTTTGTAACTTATTTAGAGACAGGGTTTCACTGAGTTGCTTAGCACCTTGCTTTTGCTGAGGATGGCTTGGAATTTGTGATCCTCCTGCCTCAGCCTCCCGAGCTGCTGGAATTACAGGTGTGCACCACCATGCCTGGCAAAGTACCGTATTTACTAAATTTACTAAATTTGGAACATGGGATGGGAGTTGGGCACAGGTCAGAAGAGACAACTCCCCATTGTCAAAGAATCTGTAGTTGAACTAAAGAAATGTTCCAAATGCATGTGACAATGTTTAAGACAGAGGCAGTCAGGCCACGAGGCAGTAAGGGACTGGAGTCAAACTGCCCAGTGCAGTCCAGCTGGGAAGACCCCCTGCAGGAAGGGCACTGTGAGCCCAGCCTCCAGGAATGGGGAAGGGTCTAGACAAAGAGAACGACCAGGAAGGGATTGAGGCCAGCGGTCCCCAGCAGCCCCAGCCCTGCGGGCTCAGACAGAAGGGCTGCCCTGCTCCCCCTGACTGCAGGAGAGGAAGGCCTCATTCTCAGAGCCTGTACGCATTCTCTGTGCCCACACAGGCACAAGAGGCCTCCACAAACCTGCCTTCTCTGGTCCCCACCTGCCAGTGCAGGTGTGCAACCCTTATCCAAAATGCGGAGATCAAAAGTGATGCAGAGATTTGGGATTTGGGGATATTTGCACATGGGGACAGGACCTAAGTCTACATGATTCATATACACACAGTCCAAAGGTAATTTTGTACGATATTTTTTAACACACCGGTGTTTTCATCTTGTTTTATTTGTGTGTGGTACTGGAGATTGAATCCCGGGCCTCGCACATGCTGGGCAAGCACTCCACCATTGAGCTCCCTTCTGCCCTTTTTATTTTAAGACAGGGCTTCACTGAGTTGTCCAGGCTGGCCTCCAACTTGCAGTCCTCATGCCTCAGCCTCCTGAGTAGCTGGGATTAAAAGTGTGTACCTCCACACCCAGCGAGCACACCTGTATTTTGACTCTGACACATGCCATGAGGTCAAGCACGTGATGTCCCATTTGTGGCAGCCTAATGTCAGTCAAAAAGTCTTGAGCATTTCAGATTTGAGGTTTGGGGATCAGGATGTTCAACCTGTACCAGGCACTCAGCTCCCGCCACCCTGAACCAGGGCAGGCGACATGTTGCAGTGACAGTCGCTGTCTGCATGTCCTGGGCACATGGGAGGCACATGCACTGTGGGCGGGAGGAAGAGGGCAGAGAGGATGGTGCCCAGTGCCTGCATTTGGAGGAAAGACAGAAACAGCAGAGACTAAGCCACAGAATTCCAAAATCCTCGCCTCTCTGGGCAGGAAGCCGGGCATGCTATTGTCCAAGGCCTTTGAAGCCACCCAAGTGGCAGCAGTCCCAGCAAACATCCTCTGAGGCAGGACAGAAATCAGAATCTTTGTCCACAAGTGGCCACCTGCCCAGGACCTCCCTGAGCAACAAGCCCTGTCTCCATATTCTGGGGACGGCCTCTCTCCACCTTGACCGTGGCCGCTCAGCTCAGCTCAGCTCAGCTCAGCTCCCCTGGTCCCCTGGTCCCCTGGTCCCCGCCGGGGCAGGGCTTCTTCTATTCACCAAAGATCGCCTTCATTTCCTCTGCCTTCTCACAACCGCACTTTCCAAAACAGGATATTAAGGGGAGAGAGACCAGGCTTTCGGGGTTTTCTTAGCCTCCGCTCCAGGGAAAAACAGACACTCATCCCTGTCTGAAATTGCTTCACTCGGCGAGCTTGTGGGCCGCAGGAGCCCTCCCGCCACAGCCGAGCAGAAAATAGAGTTTGTTTCTCTATTTCCCAGCCCCCTCGCCTCTCGCCCTCGCCTCTCCCCCGCCTCCTGCGCGCTGGCTCCTCTCCGCCTGGTGCGCAGCTGGGGGCTGGGGCCTCGGAGCTCCGTGAGGCTGCCTGGTGCCAAGGCACCGGGAAGGGCTCCCCCAGCAGGCAGCCCTGGAAGGGAGGCGGGCAGCCACTGAAACCCTCCTCCCTCCTCCCGCGGCCCCCAAGCCCACACCTCGCAGCCTTCAGATAACCTTGGACGGAGGCAGAACTAGGACCTTTTGTTCCCTGCGATATTCAGGTTTCCAGGTCATTCTCTGGCCTTGGCAGGAATGCAGCCTGCTTCTGGCTTGTGCTCCGGTGTGAAAATATTCATCTTGGTTGGGTCAGGACCCAGGGTGTGTGCGCGTGTGTTCAGGAGAAACAAAGGCACCGCTGTCCAGTCCCTCTGCCCCTGGCCCACCTGGGGGGGTGGGGGCGTTCACGTTCCCCCTTGAGTTTGGCAACTCTGGTTTGGATTCCTCCAAGGTGGCCCAGGATGCAGGGAGGGAGAGACACAGATGGATGGCTTCCACTCCTTGTTGCCTCTCCAAGGGGAAGGGGAGGGATATTAGATATTTTCTTGGAAGTTAATTCAACTCGAAGCTGGGCACTGGGAATATGCTGTCCAAGCAATTAATCCCCCCCACCCCCAGCATCAGCCAGAAACCCACCTACCTCCCAGAAGGCCAGGTGCACACAGGCCCAGTGACCGGGCTCCCGCAGAGGAGGACCCCTCTTGGGCCAACTGGACCAGACTGGGGCCCCCAGGATGCTCTAATTATCAGTCACTCCACTGCCTTCTCCTCTGCTCCCCAGTCCCCAGCACGAAACCTGCCAAGCGTCCACCCCGAGGACTGGGAAAATCAGCTACCTACTGGCCTGGTCTTTAACTAAAGGCTTGAGCTAAATTATAGCGCAGACCTCAGGGAGCTGGGGGGCCCCGTGGCTGGAGGAACGGCTGTTGGTGGGCGTGGGGCAGGGGGAAGGAAGGGTCCCGGCGTGCTGAGCAAGCTTCTGTCCCCTTCTCAAGAGGGAAACCGAGGTCCAGAGTGAGCATGGGGGCCCCACGCCATCCCCCATCAGGGACCACCTTCAAGGATTCCAGAAAGAAGTCAGACACGCCGGTGGTAGGTCCTGGGAAGGACAGGACCTCCAGGAACAGACACATAGGGGCTGGCGAGGGTCGGCCATGGGAAAGCAGGGCCATAAAGCGCTTCAAACGAGACGTCGCCTCCCTGGCATGCAGCCGGCCAAGAGTCCACCCACCACCATCCAAGGTGCATCTTGAGTGGCCTCCACATCCCACCACCACTGCCACAGACCATCCCCTCCGGCCGACAGCAGCGGTGGCCGCCCGCAGCACTGTGAGCTTTCACCTCCGTCCCCCGTGATCCCATCTCCTCCAAGGGCCTCTGCAGTCGTGGTGCAAGCTTAAAACAGGAGAGTGGACTTGACCTAAAGCCTTGCATGGTTTCCACTTGCAGAGAATAAAATCCCTGACCAGGGCGAGACCAGATCCTGCCCAGCCTCCGCGGGCCTCTCTCGCCATGACATGCTCGTCCCTGTACTGACAACACGCCTGTCCATTTGTAATGACATATTTTCTTGTTTGTCTTTTAGCCTCGGCTTGCCCATCTACAAGGGAGGGTGCGAAAACACACTGATTCATTACCCCAGCTCAGCCACGTGCTGGAGCAGAGCAGTCTCTCAACAAATGTTTGTTGAATGAATGGTTAAAGGTGAGGGATGCAGCTCGGTGGCGCAGTCCTTGCCCCGTATGCAAGATGCTCTGAGTTCGATTCCTGGCACCATCACAAAAAAGAAAGAAAGAAAGAAAGAAGGAAAGCCAGTGGCTACCAGGTAGCTCAAAGCAGAACTTTCTTACTTTCTCTTTATTGCAGAGAGAGAGAAAGAAGGGCTCCAGGCACTCACAACCAGGAGAAGCAAATCCTCTTCCAACCTGCAATGAATATCAACCTTCCCTGCTCCTTCTTAATTCCTGATCACATTTGGATTCAGATATTTAAGAAGCCAGAGAACCAAATGTTATTCAACGCCCCAGAAAGCCCCTGAGACTCAGCATTCGAGGGTAGAAAAGTTCCACTTTCATAAAGCCTAATAAAATCTTGCTTCCACCGAACAGGCAGCAGAGAGCGGGCTCAGAGACCTACCAGACGCTCTGCGGATCCGGAGCACGTGGAAATGCAGACTGTGACCGGAATACGAGAGTCCACGAGACTCACCCCCAGGACTGCCCGGGACCTGGCCGGGTCCAACGCACGCACGGAAAAGGGGCCCCCAGAGTTCATGAGCTGAGCAGATTTACGTCTGAGTCATAATATTTATAACAATAAATGATTCACGAGATGGCCAGGGCCCTCTGCAGCCCTCCCTGACAATCGTGGACCAACAAACACGCACTCGCCCAGTAAAAACAAGGGGGGGGGGGCGAGGAGGCCCCACCGACGGGCTCCCCATTACTCTAATGTAATCAGAAGAACATTAAACATTTCCAAAGTCTCCTCTCTTTTCCATGGCTGATTAAGCAGTTGGGAGCACAGAGTTTACTGTGAAGAAAGCAAACAATTATGCGCCATCCGAGGTAAACATTACCTTAGTAATAGGAGCTGGGATGTACCGCTCCGTTGTCAGTAGGGATTATCATTATAATACTTAAAATAACATTTATAACACTTACTGAAATTACCCGAATGAAGTCTGCAGAGACACCGAAATGAAATCAGCTCAATGTGTTTTTATAAGAATACCGAAATCTCCGTCCCTTGGAGGAAAGTTATAGGCATTAACACTTTTTTCTGGGTCTCCATTAGCTGGTAAAATTTGAATACTGTTTCTTAGGTGAGCTCTAATCTTCTTTGAATCCTCCCAACACATTTTATCTGTAAAAAATTGTAGTTAAAAATTTAGTTTGATGGAATGATATTTAAGAGCTTTCCTCATCTAACTCCCTGAATGCGCCCCAGAGAGTCTCTCTGTAATTTGTTCAAACGAAATAATATTTTCGTTTCCCCGTTTCTCTTTTGTTGTCTTGGGTGATGAAAAGGTAACATTTCTTTTCTTTCAATCCTATTAAACGAGGCTCGCGGAATGCCAGCCACTCAATCCAAATGCGATCTGGCAGACGGGCGCTCGGCTTAAAAAAACGGGGCCTGCCAAGCCGGGGTTCTGTCAGGAGTTGACGTGTCACCAGGAGTAGGTTCCCGGCAACATTTCCCCAGCAATAACCAGGGTTAGCAGCAAGCGAACTCTCTCTCTCTCTCTCTCTCACTTTCTCTCTCGTTTTTGGTGGACACGCTCTCTGGGAGCTTTGGCTCCAATGTCTGGTTATTTGCACCTCCTCTGTCCACCCCACCCCTCTGCAGCTTCCCCTGAGCCCACCTGACACCCACACTGGAGCTGGGGATGCAGGTAACTGGCCCCTTCTCCTTCTGCAGGCAGTACTTGCTCTCTAGGGTAGAAAGCGCGTGAGATTTTACTCTATTAAATTCTTTCCTGGCAGCATCTCTCTTATTCCTTTCCCCATTCTATGTCTCCTCCTTCCATGTCACAGTCATCAAAAAAAAAGCAGCTTCCAAACTCCAACTCACTCCCCAAAACCTGCCATCAAGCCGTGATGCACGCCTTGTCATCCCAGCAGCTCAGGAGGCTGAGGCAGGAGGATTGCAAGTTGGAGGCCAGCCTCAGCAACTTAGTGAGGCTCTGAGCAACTCAGCAAGACCCTGTCTCTAAATAAAATACAAAATAAGCTGGGGATGTGGCTCAGAGGTCGAGTGCCCCTGAGTTCAATCCCTGATACAAAAGAAACAAAAAACCCTGTAATCAAATGTCACCTCCTCTCTGACGCTCCCCCCAGCATCTAAAGGCATCCAGGCTTCCTCTGTACTTTGTAAATGCTTTTACTCCAGTGACTAAATAAACTAGGGTGCGGTCACGTGATCAAACACTATGGGTACTCTTTTGTATTTTTCAATGGCGCAAAATCAAATGGGTTGATATAGAAAGACTCGCATTGCTAACAGTGAAGTGAGCGGGATGCAAAGTAACGAAGGTAATGGCTCCGATTTGATAACACATGAGATATGCACAGGAAACCCTTGGAGGCAATTAAACATCAATAACAGTGGGAGGTGACTTCTGGGGAATGGAAACGGGGAGAGGCATCCCTCTTGATGAGGGAAGATTTACACTCTTCTGTATTATTTGATCTATGTTTTTCCATGAACATGGATTCCTATTTAGGTAAAATAAATAAATAAATACATAAAAGCCACCTATGTCCATGAAAAGGATTTACGGGCGCCATTTTGGATTTAGGTACTTAATCCACTCGTGCCACCCTATGACCGATGGTCATCACCAAAGACAGTCCTATCACATGATTTTCTGCATCACCCATTCTCCCTACTATATATGGATGTCTTTCCAACAACGCAGCAATTGACTTATTTTAATATACTGGATTATGGAAGCCCTCTAACGATGAAATTCTCTTAGTGCCCTATTCAACATTCATCTCTGCTTTCTTTGCTCTGTTCTTGCCTGGCCGGGAAAGAAGGGACACACTGAAGGCAGGGTGTTAACACCTTGATGGCAACAAATGGTCATGTCTTTGAGGCATTGGAGCCAATTTCACATGATGGTTTTTTTGTTTTTTTTAATTCAATTTTATTTTTTGTGGTACTGGGGATTGAATACAGGGGCACTCTACCATTAAACCACATCCCTAGCCCCATTTCTTTTTAAATTTTTGAGACAGAGTCAGTAGCTGAAGCTGGCCTCAAATTTGGGATCCTCCTGCCTCAGCCTCCTGAGTTGCTGGGATTCCAGGGGTGCACCACTGCACATGATGGGATTTCTTATTACCCATCTGCTTTCCATCCTCAGATGATCGGACACGGAGAACAATACAACCAGGGGTGCTAGCAGGACACTAACCCTTGGGTTCTCCAGATAAAGCTGCCATTGACTTTAGGAAAACATCATGATGCTAATTACATCATCCGTGGGGGAAAAGGTCACAGGGCAGCATCATCCTGCTCTATCTGACATCAGGGGAGTCAAAATTATTTGAAAACAAACATATATTTAGGCACAGAAACATTAAACCTGTCAATTTTATTCTAATGACATAATTTCTTTGTAAATACATTAACCACCTAGAAAAGTCCTCGCACACTGTATACGTAAATTTCATATGTTTGGACACCTATCCTCACCACAGCATCAAGTTCAAGTGCCCTGGCCCAGAGGGTAAGGTGCTCCAGGGTGGACACTGCCCAGTAACAGCAGGGTGACTAATGTCATATGACATAGCACCAAGGAGCAGTCTATTAGCATACATTGATCACCTTTCAGCTGCTTGTCTTGTGACCAAGCACAGCAACAATTTGTCCAGAAGTTGAGAATCCAAATGATGTCTGCTACTGTGCTTTCTAAGTAAGAAGAAAGTGAAATTCTTTGAAATTAGAGGCAGGAGTCACGGGCAGGAGGAAGTTAGACCCTGGGAGCTTGTCTTTGAGCCTAGGAGCTCACAGACACAGCTTGTTGTCTGAGCAGACGTTAAAGCCCAGAAAGATGCTGGGATGACCTCTGGTGACCACAGGCGTTATCTTGCAGGCTGCTGCTTTTTTGAACATCAGTTTGTAGGCACCGATACCAATCTACTCAGGCAGGGATGCAGATCTCTCCCACACCCTCTCATGGAAATGGGCTACGGATGGCTGGAGCAGGGTGAGGTTCAGTCCAATAACAATGACCATCCCTCTCCCAGGAGCCCTACGTCCCTTATAACTAAAATCCCCCTGTCTCTCCCATGGAATGAACTCAGAGGGGCTCCATCTACCCCCTGAGCCTGCAGCATCCTTTGCTTGATTCTAAAACTCAAAATTTTCAAGCTTTCAGGAGGCTGCTGAGCTGTGGTTTTCAGGGACTTTACCAAGTCCACACTGTAGTCCATTGCCTAGCACTGAGCCTCATCGGTATGAGTCGGCTGGAGCTGCAGTAACAAAATGGCCCAGATGACTGAGTGGCCCAAATGTGGATCCTCTCCCAGTTCCAGAGGCTGGAAGTCCAAGGTGGAGGCACTGGCAGGGTTGGTTTCTCCCGAGGCCACCTGGTTTGCAGATGGCGCCGTGTCCTCACGTCTGTGCTCTGAGCGCACGCATCCTGCTACCCTGTGTGACCACACATCCTCCCATAAGGACACCAGTGGGGGAGGGTCAGGCCCGCCTGGTGGGTCTCACCTGACTTCGGCACCTCTCTAAAGACCCTGTCTCCAGCTAGTCCCTGGTGAGGTGGCAGGGGTAGGGCGCTGACCCAGGAGTCTGGGGGAGACACACGCAGCCCATAAAGGAATCCCCGTTGGATCTCCGCCGTTCCAGCAGAAAGGCGTTTCAGCCGTCTCATCTGTGTCAGCCCCAGGGTCCCCGCCCTGTCACTTACTTCATCAGCTGAGTGCATCTTCCCTGGGCTTCTCGGAGCATTGGCTTTCTCACGGCAGAGAGGGGTCAGAGGTGCTCACAGAATCCCAAGGACAGGCGACCCTGGCTCCTTCCCCCGACGCCCCTTTTCCAAAGTACCTTCTGCCACCACCAAAAGGGATGTGAAGGTCACCTCGTCCAGTCCCCTCCCCTCCCACCTGAATGGAGACCCAGCGCAGAAGGAATCTACTTCTGGTCAGGAGCACGTGAGCACCCCCAGAACACAAGAGAGGTGGCAGGAGGTGACAGCAACCAGGACATGGGCAAAAAGGGTCCCTCGGCACCCCTGAAGTGTGGTCAGACCTTCCCCCAACCCCACAGCCACAGGGGGAGGCCAGATCACCCACTACCATCCCACAGCTCCTGCACAGCCAGCCACTGTCACCAGGTCCTCAATGGGTGGGAGGGGGGCGGGGGGGTGGTAAAAACTTGGGGGGCATTTAGCTGCATGCGCTTGGAAAAACCTGTCCGCGTATTAGGTGCAGCCTGCCTCTGCCTCGCCACGGAGGGCACGCTCTGCAATCTGAATCGGCAAATTTGTTAACTGACTGTTGAGTCTAATGTTATACCACTATTCTGCCTCTCGTTAGCAACACAAATTACCGGCAATTAGCCGGCTGACTGTTCAAAGGCAGTTCAATTTCATGTATAAAGAGAACTATATAATGCTTAATGTATCTATCAAATGTAATAGCCCAAACAAAATTAATGATATGAATACAATGAGTGCTTATATGGGATAATTACAAGGTGTCCGTCACGAGGAGTGTGCCACCGAGTCGGCTCCCACAATCCAGGCAAACAGGCACCAAAGTTGGGAGGCTGGCCCAGGCTCCGAGGAGAGAGAGAAAAGTCACTGTGAAGCACCACAGGGCCCGGCCGCCATCTGGTGACAGGGGGTAGCCAAAACACAGGCTGCTGTGGCGTCTGAAGAATTCAAGTTGCGGCTTCAGGCCCTGGAGTGAAGCACAACCCCAGCCTCAGCGTCCTCATCTGTCAAATGGGAGCGATGGTATCTGTCTCCCAGAACCTTCGCCGGGCGTGACGCAAGCAAATGACAAAGAAAAGAGCCCTGCTAACGGTCCAGGCCTGGCTCGGAGGCAGGTGCTGATGCTGCTGACATTATTATTATTATTACATGAAAAATTCCCAAGGTGAGGCCCAGCAGACCCCTTCCCAGCCCGTCCCTGGCAGAGCAGCGTCACGATACGAAAGACGCTTCCGTTTAATTACCACCTTTTTTTTTTCTTTTCCTCCGGTAACTAAACATTTTCCTCGGCTCAGTATCCCTGGAATGGCAGGGCCATTCCCAGCGTATTACTTGCATATCTATAATTAAATAATTAAGAATTGTTCAAGCCCTTCCAAACACAACAAAAGGCGATGATTATTTCAAACCC